TATTTTGATTACAGTAATCAATTACTTGTAAAAATAGATTTAAGAACAGGATGTGGCTTTTAAAAGTGTGAGAAAGTATTTCAAATAGAATAATTAATTAGTAAAGTAGGAGTTGTTTTATAGCAAAGAAACTAACATAAAAAGATTAATAAAAGCTTTTTATGTTACATATATATATATATATAACGTCGTTGCCGAGTGGAAGGATTAAAACAGGTCTTAGGCCGGGAAGGAGGGTACAAAATTTATTTATTAATTATTAGACAAAGCAGTCATGACTAATGAAAGTGTGTAAAAGTGCACATGAAAATAATCGTGTGGGCTGATGAAAATATTATATCTTTTATTTCCCGGTTTTTTTTTAAAAAGTTTAATCCTTTTTTTTTTTTTTTAAATCTGTTGTTTGTTATTTTTTTCATTATTATTGCCCCCCCCCCTTTTTTTTCATGTGTCTACAATTTTCCTATATATATATACTCTATATATATATACTCTATATATATATATATAAATATATATATATAGAGAGAGAGAGGAGAGGAGAGGAGAGGGAGAGGGAGATTATTTACCCCTTGCAAATCAAAAATGAATTTATATAAAAACGTTTAAAGTAGCTTTCGATTTGAAATTTGTTTAACTAATCTTGATTTGAAAGAATGCAATATTAATTGACGCATTCAATGAAATTTTTAACAAGAAAATTGGTGTTAAGAAAGAAAATATGATCAATACAAGTACGAGAATTGATTCAGGTGACAAAATTAATTAAAGGAGAAAAAACATCAACTATTAGGGCAATCATCATCATGCTTAGATGGGTTTAATAAATCAATGTTTGTGTCACTAATTAAAATCATAATTTCACACTTGGTCAAAAACAAGAATTTTTTTAGTTTCTTTATATATTCTTAAAATATTCAATTGTGAGGGAATGAGATCTATGTATGCTTTGTATTGTTAACAAGATTACTATGAAAAATAATGATTTCCGAGTATTCAAAATAGTAACTTATCTCTTTAAAATGATATTGCGATTTGATATTAAAAAAACTAATAGCACCAGATCTATTACGCGATCTTTATCAGTGAAACATATTAAAATTTTCAATATTTAAGAAATCTAATTCATTTTCTGTTAAAGTTTCACTTAAAATAAAAATATAAATTTTGTCAAAAATATATTGCAACATGGTAGTTAGTTCATCGAAATTAATCTTAAACTTCAGATATTAAAATTAATAATATTTAATGATGCAGTATTTCAGTTTGCCGGCAAAGCTTGGTTTATATCAGTGTTTTTCCGTATTCATATTATTGAAAATCACAATTTTAATTATTATAAAAATTATTTATTCTATTTTTTTTTTCATTTCTAAGTTTTCAATAAGAATAAATTTCTATTTCCAAATGGAATTTTGAAAAAGACCTCTTAAGGAAGCAGTTCTACTTAGTACATACATAAAATACGAGAAAGAAAAATAAGCATTACCTGCAACGATGTCTTGATTTAAATCCATCTTGTCTAATTCATCTCTTAGCTGAAAAGTAGAGATCATTTTAGTGTATAAATTAACAATTTTCGAAAACATATTACATAAAAAATATTACCACAATTTTTGAAATATCTCTAAAACAAAGTCTTACAATAATGCATCGTAAAAGAATGAACGATAGTTAAAGATTTTTTGCTATATATTTATTTATGATTTATATATCTCGTCGTAAAAATTTTTGAAATATCTCTAAAACAAAGTCTTACAATAATGCATCGTAAAAGAATGAACGATAGTTAAAGATTTTTTGCTATATATTTATTTATGATTTATATACCTCGTAGTAAAATTTTTTGAAATATCTCTAAAACAAAGTCTTACAATAATGCATCGTAAAAGAATGAACGATAGTTAAAGATTTTTTGCTATATATTTATTTATGATTTATATATCTCGTAGTAAAAAAATGTCACTATCTCATTTGGAATTGCGTAAAATTGATAGTGGGATAAATAAATTGCGTTTTTCGTACTTTTCCATAAAACTTAAAAACTCCAAATCATTCATGAGTATTAACAACACTATTGGAAAATTCCCTTCAATGTTAACCACAATATGGGACATTCCAGGGACATATTTGAAATACCATATTGTGGTAAAATAATCCCACAAAAAATCCATTCATAATAAACTTATTATATGGTTCAAACTTCACACCGTTAAGGTGGTTAGCAAATGAACGCAAATTTTCCGATTATGTAATTATCTAAACATTTCCAAATTATATAAATATTGTCAAAGCATTGAGAAGAAAGAAATCCACTTTTATGTTTTTAATTTAATGATATTAATAAAACATCATGAATTTAAATGCTTAGAAATATTTTATATGATAAAATTATAAGCATTGAAAAAATATAAATTAATCAAATCAATCTTACTTCAGCTGATGAAGGATCTATTCTTATATTTTCAACTTTAGACTTGAAAGATCTGTATAAAATTAGAAAAAGAAATACATTTCCTTATCTTTCAGATGAATAAATTGAAGTACTAAAGGGCACCGAACCGACTAACGCATTTTTGATATTGCCCAAATTCAACAACTGATTTCGTGGAGTAGAAACTGGAGGTGAAAAGAACTGTACGTATTAAGGACAGTTGCATTGAAGCATCGAGTAACCTCAGTTCGTAGTTATTACGAACCACGTAGTTGTTACGCAGTTCGAGCGTATTTAACTCTCACCCTTAATTTTGCATTTCCCCTACATTCATTGAAAATTTGCACACTAGATTGCAAAAGACAGTTAATGGCAAAAGTATTCGCGTNAGTTTTTTCAAATGCAGCGTACTTGTTTGCTTAAAATTGAAGTTTTAATTCCATTTTAATACCACTGGGAAAAATGATAATGGAAGGGATTAAAAGTTGGCAGGTATGGCACCGAACCGACTAACGCATTTTTGATATTGCCCAAATTCAACAACTTATATTGATTTCGTGGAGTAGAAACCGGAGGTGAAAAGAACTGTACGTATTATGGACAGTTGCATTGATGCATCGAGTAACCTCAGTTCGTAGTTATTACGAACCACGTAGTTATTACGTAGTTCGAGCGTATTTAACTCTCACCCTTAATTTTGCATTTCCCCTACATTCATTGAAAATTTGCACACTAGATTGCAAAAGACAGTTAATGGCAAAAGTATTCGCGTCATGATTAATAATAAAACCGTTTTAAAAAATGTATTCGTTTTAATTTAATGATGAAATCAGAATTTCTTTACACTTTTTTTTTCCCCAATATGCAAGGTGTTCTGTATATATTTTTAGAGTTCTTTTCAAAATTGGTAACAAAAAGTACACACATTTATCATATTTAAGCGAGGTAAAAAACTTGTTAAACTTGTTTTGATATTTATTGTATCCAAATCTCTCTACAGTAATTAGTCGGATTTTGATAGCGTTTTTTATTTTTCCTTCGATTATATGTTAATTTTTGACCTTTAATGTGTATACTTTTTAGTTTTTATTTTTGATAAAATTTTAAAAGTACATGATAAGGATGGTCTATACGAAACACCATGTGTACGGACATACGTAGGAGTAAGCATTTTAAAGTCACTCAAATTATGATGAAGAAAAAGCTGAAGAAAGAACTGAATTTTAATCTGCATTACACCAGCGTCAGCTTTCCCAAATCAAAACTTTTTCTTGACTTTGAAACTAATTTATGTTCTTGATCTTAAATCTAACTTTTCGTGACTCAGTTTATTCAGTTTAAATGAATATTTACCATGATTGCATTAACAGTGCCACTGTCTTTGAAAAACACTGTATCACGGTAAAACTGTGCAAGAGAAGTCAGATTTTGATGTCTTAAGATTAATTTTATTAATTTTTATGTATTTGTATATGTAAAGAGAAAATAAAGAATACATATAAGAATGAAAGCAGCACTGATAAAAAAAAACTTTATGAATTAACTTAGAACTTACTTCTCAGTCTTTGGTATAAAACTTTCATCAGTTTCAGATTTATTCTCTATACTCATCTTTCTTGCCGATGAAATATTTTCATGAATTGTTGACTGACTCACATCCACTTCATCAGCCAATCTTCCATCCAACAGTTGCTTTAAACTATTAACAGGATTAAGACATTCTTGTTCACGTATTCTTTGTTCAATCAATATTTGTTCAAGGCGTTGATGAAATAAACTGTTAGTTTTACAAGGAACGCTCATAACTTGTGCCTTTGGTTTAGGAATAAAGTCTGTCTGCAATTCCATATTTACTGCAGGTGATAATTTTTCTGACTTGTTAATGTCTAACGGAACTGATGTCTTTTCTTTTTTGTTGTATAATTCTGGTCGTGGTAATGGTTGTGGGGGTTTATTTTCGTGTGACGCTAATGGGATATTTATTGGTCTTTTCTTAAAGACGACATTAGGAATACTTTTTCTAGTATTAGCTTCTGGTTCAGCAGTTGGTGTAGGTTTCATAGTTTCTTCTGTTTCAACTAAAGCACTAATTAATTTTTTTTGAATTCCCAATGAGTTAGTTTCTTCCGAAAAACTTTTCATGGTACAATGTTTTGCCTCTACACCTAATTCAGGCAAAGGTTTATTTCCTTGATTCTCAGCAATTTTACCACCATTTACATCTAATTGATCAGATTGGCAAAACTTGTTCTGTGAGGATCTGATTTGATGTTCTTTCGTTGCTTCATTCAAATCCTGTTCTTTGCAAAATGTTCCTGGTGGATACTTAAATACAGGAGGAGGACGGGATGGCAACGGAGGGGGACCAGTTTCAGTCACTTCCAACTTAATATAGTCTTCTAAGCTATGAATTTTGTTTTTGGAGGAATCATTAGGATTGTTAATTGTCGGAGAATCATTTGAAATTTGGGTGGGTGTGTCAATGTTTATTGGTTTAGAATCAATCTTTACTCCTGAATGCTGAACATTTCCAGCTAGGTTGACTTTTTCATTAATATTTACGTGTTGTCTATTTCTTGGTTTTGGAAATAATAGTGGCTTTGGTTTGTTTGTAATGTTACAGTTTTTAGTATAAGAAAAAGCATTTTTTGGTAGGAAAACCGCTGAACCATCATTGGCGCTAAAAATAGGATTTGCAGGTTGCTTACTTAGTTCTCCTTTCACTGCATTTTCATATGCTTCAAGTGATTTTTGACGTGAAAGAGCTGAAAAACATAAAGATTAGACATCGAAGATATATTGCTGTACATCATCAACCATTAGGTTAAGTTCGAAAAATGCAAATTATCATTGAAAAAGTTGCCAACTACTATCATTAAGAAAACTCAGAATTTACATCTTTTCCCACCTCAATAGTCCAAAAATTTGAAAAAAATAGTTTTAAATGTTTTAAATATAAAACAAATATTAAAAAATTGCAGATTTGGTTGGTGGGCTTTTGGTAGAGCTTAAAAGTTACCAATGCTTAAAAACATAATATGTACAACATTTTTGAATTATAAGTTATTATCCGCTTCAACGTCTCCGAATTGTTGATAGTAAACGCATTTTTTTTAATAAATCCGTGGGTTATTCTCCAAATCAATTTATTTTTCCGATAAGGATTAAAGCTTTTTAATCACTTCTCTTACCAATTTTTTTGAGAAAAAAAAATGCAAAAAAATCAAAATATTTTTTTATTTCATTAATAAATACAAGGAACTAAAAGAAAACATAATACGCAAGTTTTAAGTTGGAATTCTAATTCTTTTATGTGTAAAAAGTATTTAGTTTACCATCAGTTTACGATGCCAAATTATCTGGGGCAAATGAAATAAGTTAAACATTACTCTTTGTATGATTTTTTTTGACACAGCAAGGAAAAAGAGGGGGGTTGCGAATTTCGGTATAATATTTTATTTGCGTTGCACTAGAGCTGCACTATGGGCTATTGACGATGGTCTGGGAAACATCCTTGAGGATGAGCTGAAGACATGCCATCGCAATGTTGATCCTCTGAGGAAGGGATGGCTCCCTGCTTTGGTAGCCCAACGACCAGCGCGCGAAGTCGAGCACTTTACGGTAGAACAGTTCAACGAGGACCGATACCGCGCATCCTCGGTCTCTAAGCAGGCTGATCAAAGTTGTCACCCACCCGCTTACTGACCACAACCAGTGATGCTTGACTTCGGTGTTCTATGGGGAACCGTGTCTTTACGATCAGTCATTGATCGTCACTAGTGTCTCCCCGTAATGCAATGCTTACGATTTAATTAAAAAACAAATCTAGTATTAGTAAAATGTTCATCAACTATTCAACAAATTCTAATTACAGGACCTATTATAGGATAAACTCAATTTAAATAAATAATATCGATTCAAGTTAAGCTGCATGCGAATACAATTTTTAAAAAAGGAGATTCTTTATATGTATTTGTTTTTTTTCGTTATCCATATGTAAAATAACAAACCGAAAATAACATTCTGGAAGTAGCCTTGAGATTAACAATCTCAAATTTTCAAACATTCAATTGGAAAATATTAGTGCTTATAAGTAAATCTTACCTTCTTTGCTTTCATTGATTTTATTTTCTTCAATTTCTTGTGCACAAAACTGAAATATACTCACAAAATTAATGAAGAGACATCATAGGTTACATAAGCAAATACTACAACTAGTGATATTTGGATTTCCTAACATCGTTTTAGAATAATAAAACTATTTTAATGCTGCCACTTTAGAGCTTCATCAAGGTAAAAATTCTAGATATCATATTAATAATATTAAATTAAATAGGAAACTATTCTTGAGTAACAATTGTTAACGCTATATTTCAATAAAACAGTCAACTCATTATTCATTTGCATGCATTGATTTGTATGACAAATATGGTTAAAAAATGTCTTACGACGTTTGTTAGGTATGCCTTTATACGAGGGTTGTAAATTAAATAGTGGCAACTTAACCTTGAAACTCACAGAAGGGCGGGCATGTTNTTCTACTTTTTTTATTCCATTCAAAAAAGAAAAAAAAATAGCATTATACGGGTTGTAAATTAAATAGTGGCAACTTAACCTTGAAACTCACAGAAGGGCGGGCATGTGCAAATAGGTTATGGGAACGGAGAAGTGGACCTGCTGTCGATGTGTAGAGTGCAAAAAACAGTCGATCTGCTTAGCAGGGTCGTTGTTGCGTGGCGTTAAGGAGAGGAGTTTTGTTTCCATCGCTCTAAAGCATGTTTTCAAAAGGTGATCAGCGGTCGTCATTTAAAATCGAGGTTGCCCGTGGCAAAAGTGCAACAGAATGCTATCGAGGATTAGCGAAAGCCTGTGGGGCAAATGCTTTACCGTATTGGACAGTAGCTCGATGGGTTCAGGCATCTCGTCTTTTTCGTCATTAAGCCTTTTGAAAACGTGCTTTAGAGCGATGGAAACGAAACTCCTCACGTTAACGCCACACAACAACTACCCTTCTAAGCAGATCGACTGTTTTTTGCACTCTACACATCGACAACAGGTCCACTTCACCGTTCCCATATCCTATTTGCACATGCCCGCCCTTCTGTGAGTTTCAAGGTTACGTTGCCACTATTTAATTTACAACCCTCGTATTAGAAGTTGTTCAAATTAATTCTCCTCCAGAAATGCTAGAACATATTATTTAACTGAGCCCTTACTGTATTCTAAAATTAATAATTGAAAATCTATGGGCAGTTATCTATTGCTCTAAAATGACTTGAACAATTTTGCCTATTTTAATTCACATTGCCTAGAGAAGATATTATATCTCATATTCACAAGGTATATAGTAGATAACGAATCGATGAAACTGCATTTACCATTTTCGTGATTTCGTTTGAAATCAAATTTGATTCAAATTTTTCTTTACTATAAAATTTTGGGTAAAATGTTAATTTGAAGGTTGAAAAAAGGAACATCATAAAATATTTCCGGTTGCATAGAATAAGTAAATAAATATCATATTTCTTTTAGATTATATAATATTGTATTACATTTCATCTATTATTATTATAATAATTTTAAATTGATGTTATTTTTAGTAAAACACATAGATTGGGTACTGTTTATCAATTCAGTTATAATATTTCAAACATCAAAACAATGTTTAATACTAAGAACAGTTTGATTTAGGAATAAAAAAAAGTCAATTTTATTGGATAAACCATTTGTACTTACCGTCGATGACATCACTTTTTTAAACTGAGAAAAGATCTCTAAAACTTTAATAACAAAACTTTATAGAAAAACAGGCAGTTAACAATGTTATATTTTTTCTGCATCCAAATAAAAGTGAAACAAAAAGCATGATTGTTTTTTTTCTTTTCTTTTTTAATCTCATGAAATTTTTCAGGAAAGAATTTTAACTGGGTAATATTTTTGGAACGCACCAAGCATTTATCAATAAAGCTGATAAGAAATTATCTATTCTATGACTTAAGAGACAAAGTTCTCCCTTAAAGGCTTTTTTAACATTTTAATTTCGTGGAACACAAATATAAGCAAAAAAGTGTTCGTGTAGTTTACGATAAATTAAGAAAAAGATTAACTTTCTTAGACAGCAAAAACGTTTTGTGTTATGTGAATTGTATTGTAAAAATGTTTTGTAAGCAAAGCAAAAGCAAAAATTTATTTAATAAAAATATATTTAATAAAAATATATTGAATTAAAATAAATTTAATCGAAATATATTTAGTGAAAATATATAGCTTTTAATTTAATGTATGATATTTTTTAACTTTTATTTTATTACTTTTTTGTTCATTCTAGTTCAGAGGTAATTTTTTTAGTATTTATTTATTATATTTCAATTTTTATTTCTAAAAACATATGAATAATAACAAAGTAGACATTTTTAAAAGTACAATAAGTATTTTTATTTACTTTTTCATCTTGCTAAAAAATTGAACAATTAGTTTTTTCAACAAGTTAAACTTGGGGAAAAAAATTTACCAAGATTTAATTTAATAACTAAGGAAAAGGATTTAGATTAAGCAAATCTTATTTGCATTAACATGTATTTTATATGCCATACTATACTAGCTTAATTGCCTCTCAGGGACATTCTTACTTCACAACGTAATATTTTTATGCTGTTGTAGTAGTTCATTTACGTCGCACTAGAGCTGCACAATGGGCTATTGGCGACGGTCTAGGAAACATTGAGGATGATCCGAAGTCATACCATCACAGTTTCGATCCTCTGCAGAGGGGATGGCACCCCCGCTTCGGTAGCCCGACGACCTGCACGCGAAGTCGAGCACTTTACGGTAGAACAGTTTAACGAGGACCAATACCGCACACCCTCGGTCCCTACGCAGACTGATCCAAGTGGTCACCCACCCGCACACTGACCGCAGCCAGTGATGCTTGACTTCGGTGATCTGCTGGGAACTGTGTCTTAACGATCAGTCCATTGCAGGACTAATATTTTTATGATCAGACCCTTTGGTAACTTATATTTTATTTTATTACAGATTATTATTATTATTTAAGATTGGGTATGACGTCATTAATTCTCTTGCCCTCCAATAACTCTGAACTTTACTGCTTAAAAACAAAACTGCAGAGCACGTTTCAAGATCTGGAGCTTCTAAAACTTTGATCATGTCCATACAAGGGGAGAAATAAGGAACCCTTAAAATTTGAGTCAGACATACAGACAAACAGTTATGAGTTACAAAAGTGCCATATCTGCTTTTTTAGACATGCATAGCAGCAATTTTTCAAATCAAGAATATCCTACGTCACCTCAACCAGAGGGTTTAAAACCAGGGATAACACAGTGAGCTGGAAGTCACAGGAAAGAGAATTAATTTTGCTAAATCTCTGCAGTCTTGAATATAAATATTATTAGAATATTGTCTCTTAACAATGGATTGAAATACTTGAAGCTCTCCTTAATTTAAGAGACAAATGGGGCCATAGAGAATCTGTAGATTGTAGTGAACATAAAATTTAATTAAATCTAGCAACTCACTTTTGGGAGGCGAGATTAAAAACAGCAAATTTGGTTTGATTGTTGCAAGAAATTTGAATGTGTTTCCAAAATTATCCAATTTCAACTCATCTCTTTTTCCCATGTCAATAAGCAGTTCTCAATGTTCTTAATCTCAACAACCTTGTGAATGATTTGCCAAGTTTTGATAACCTTTTCTTTTCCCTCGCTTTAATATTTTTTGAGACATATAATCTGTGTAATTTTTTAATTTAAATTTTGACAAGAATTTTGATTCTATACTTTGCAGACGGTATTCATATTATGTGTGCACAAAAAAAAAAAACATCAAGATTTATAAAAGTTAAATAATTCTGGATACAAAATTTATTTTGCATTTTGAAATTTAAAAATAGATTGAGTAAAACTTGATAGCAAAATTTAGATTGAGCAAAACTTGATACTAACTAATTTTCATTACTCAATTTTAATTTGCCATTCATTTCGAATAAAATAAAAAAACACGATGTTTAATTTGCTTAATTACATTCTCTGAAAACTAATAAATTCCAAAAAATTAAGTATATCTGTGAAAAAGAATGCAGAGATTTATATAGAGAAATCTGAAAAGTTTGAAAAACAATTGATTTTAAAACCACATTTTTTAAAACTGTGATTAATAATAATGCGTAATAAATGAACTAAAAAAAATTTTAATACACATAAAAATATTGCCTGATTTTACAGTTTTGTACTACTCGTGACGCGTGAAATTTATTAATCTATTTGTCAAAAAATATTTTTCAAATATCTATCCATTCAAGAATTATGTTAAATTCTTATGCAATGGTTTAGTTTTCAAACATCGTTGGTGAATTTTAATTGTGTAGTCTAAAACTAATAAAAAAACGACGATCAATTTTATTACTTTTAATTTTCTTTAATTACTTTAAATTATAATTTACTTTTAATTTTCGATTAATTTTTCGAAAAAGTGAAGTTCCAATTATAAGATCAAAAAGTTATTCAGGATGATCCGTTTCTTATTCTGCGCACTGCACATACATTGTATTTACCTACGTATGTAGATACAATGTACGCATATACACACATACAATGCACACGTATGCAGTACATATTTATACATATGTGCACGTATGCTCTAACAATTGCGTACGATCGTACAATTCACCATTGTATATCAGTACGCACGAACGTGCAATTTATTTACTTGCCTAGGTATGTGTGTTTATAATGTGCATAATGTTCTGTAGTTCATTTACGTCGCACTAGAGCTGCTCAATGGGCTATTGGCGACGGTCTGGGAAACATCCCTGAGGATGATCCGCAGACATGCCATCACAATTTTGATCCTCTGCAGAGGGGTTGGCAATATGTACACGTGTTATATGCATATATTAACTGTATTTACTTACATAAATTGTATGTAAATACGTATATATATTGTAACTAAAAATACACATGCAAAGAATGAAAGTATGAATGTATATGAATACCTACGTAAATATTTATATTTCGTGTGCAAAGTACATGTAAACTCTGCATACCGACATAAATTTTATGTACTTGCACAAACATATTGCTACAAATATTTACATACATATATTGTATGCAAACAAACATTGCATGTATATATATTGTATGTGTTTCGTATCTTAATATATTGTACGTCCTATCGAACTATAATTCGTGTCGTAATCGCATATAATGTAATTTGTAATTGTTAGTTTATAACAGCTAATCGTAATTATCTGTTTGCGTTTATTTTGATAGCTTGTAATCATGAATGCATGTAATCACGATAACATGTAATCATTTAACATGCAATATATTCTGATCACATGTAACCATGCATACCTGCAATTGTTTCTTGTTCAGATTACATTTAATCATCCCTATATGCAATCAGATAACATGATTACTTGTAATCGTAATTACTTGTAGTTGCAATTTTAAGTAATTGATTACATAGCAGTAATTAAATGTAAACAATTGCAGAGGTTATCGATTGCTGTAAGCAACACATAACTCTGGAAATACTGCAGAAAACAACGTCGCATTTAAAGACTGTCGCAACTGGTGTCACTTGAGGACTCAGGCTCTGAATGAGACTGTTATTTTACTACTTCTCTTCCACTGACTATCACCTTCATGATGTGATTTCTGATTTCACAAAAAAAAATATATTTCCATTTCTGAGACAAAGAAATATCTACCCAATTAAAAATTACAGGAGATCTTTGACACAAAGTCCTGGATACCTAGCTCAAGTATAGTTTGTCTATAGAAATAATCACCCTCCTCACTAAGTCCTCGATACCTAGATCAAGTATAGTTTGTCTATAGAAAAAACTACCCTCGTAACAAAGTCTAAAGCCATCAGCTACTATGGAAGCAAAAATTAGCATTTCAGAAGGGATTTCTTTAGATTCCTTTTACTTAGATTATTAGTGTCACTCGAGGACTCAGGCTCTGAATGAGACTGTTATTTTACTACTTCTCTTCCACTGACTATCACCTTTATGATGTGATTTCTGATTTCACAAAAAAATAAATATTTCCATTTCTGAGACAAAGAAATTTCTACGCAATTAAAAATTACCGGAGACCTTTGACACAAAGTCCTGGATACCTAGCTCAAGTATAGTTTGTCTATAGAAATAGCCACCCTCGTCACAAAGTTCTGAATACCTAGATCAAGTTTAGTTTGTCTATAAAGCCATGCATAAGGTTCAAGCCAAGTTTTGGTATGAAATTAGCTGTTTTCAGATTTCTGTTAAAAAGAGATAAATTTGCATATTTTCAAATTTAGTATATTTAAGCTTTTGTAAACATTTTGTTGTTTTTGATTTCCAGAGTATATTAGTTTAAAATATGTTTTACAAGAAGAGAAAAAAAGATTAACATTCATATAAATTCATACCTCAATTATTTTCAATTTTGTGAAAAATGTGACTTACTGAATTTTTGTTTCTTAAATTTAATATGCTTGTGTGTTTTATGTTTAATTTTAAAATTTACAGATTCCGATAATTTTTTTTTTGGTATTTATTATCTTTTTCCGGTGTGGGGGCGTCTAAAATATGTCAAATATAATATATTTCTAAAAAACTTTTATCTCAAATTTTTTCATATTTTTTACATTAAACATATATACTAAACAAAATTAAAAATAATTAATTTATTTTGTATAAGACTGCTTCATTTTTGTGAAACCAGTCTTGCTCCTTGTAGACCCAGAATTGAAACATTTCAAAATTGTTTAACTAATTAGCATTTAGTTCCGCAAGTAAAAAGTTGCATTTTAGCCTGCAGTCTTCTGGTTTTTCCATGTTACTGGATAGGGGAATAGTGTATGGGGGAGAAACATTCTTCGTAATTTTGCCCAATTCCTTAACCACCAGTGGGATAAAAAACTGTTTAAATTCATAAAGATTCTATTGTATTACTCAAATTTTTTCTGACTTCGTTCATTTCCATATGGTTTAATATGTCAAGCTGAAACAAAATCAAAAAGCTGTTCCATACACAAAATGCTACTAACTTTTGCAGAGAATGTTGACGATCATAATCCAAAATTTAAAGAGCAATTTAGCTATGTTAAATATTATTAAAAAAAATTTAAAATCATTAATTTGTTTTATAAAAATAATAGACACAGCTATTTAAGAAAATTGATAATCCATTTTTCAAACTTCTGGAATGAAAATTGCTCTTTTTTTTTAAACTAATGGATCCAAATAAATTCGTAATGGGGTGCCATTTATTCACTCCTTAGTACATTTTTTTAAAATTAGACTTTCTTTAAAATAACTTTAAAGTCAACAGTTGTTATTACAAGGTTGTCAAAAGTTCTATAAATTTATAATAGTGGTAATAAATTTACACTGACAAATTTATACTTCTGAAAACCAATTTATGGCTTAGTATTTTGAATATGGAGATTGTTTGAAGAGATATAGCCATTTAACCAAAGTCCAAGACGTGTATTTTGAAACCATCATGCGTTAGGATCCTCTTGGCGACAATCTTGGCAAACCAGACGTTCGTATAAGAGTTTTATTTTAGAATATTTTTGCTACATAAATAGTAAGCATATATTTCTTAACATAAACTTCTTATGCAGACAATAACATTAAAATGCATGACAAAAAATTTAATTTATCAGAATATGTCTTTAAAAATTATTAAAAGATTTTTTTTTGCTCTAGCTTACATTTGAGATCTTATTTATTCTATATTTCATTTTAAGAGTAAATTGATCACTAAATATTTTTTAATTAATATTTTGAAATTATTTTGGAAAATTATTGACTTAAATTTTGAGTAAATCTAATCAGTATGACTTCTTATTGAATTCATTAAAAATGTTACACTCAAAACATTTATTTCCAACAATATTAATATTTTAATTACTTTTCTTGATTTTTCAGTTAAATTGAAAAATAAAAGCTTTGGAAGATAACGAAAAAATAATTAATAAATAAATATAAAAAATGAAAACCTCAAACTTGAAATGTCTGTACTTGAAAATGGTTATGTCCAATAATATTTTATTTTTTTCTGAAAAATGCTTATAACAGGGTTGAAGATAAAGTACACATTCAAAATACCGAGCACAGGTAATATTCCTATTATGTTCACCACTATGCAACATACTGATTATAAACTCAAGTTTCAAAGAACCTTAAAAAAGTTTTTTTATCTATGTAGGGTGATTGTATTCACAGCCCTTGTCAGAGGTGAAGTACAGAAAAATTAGGAGTTGCATATTAAAGTGATAAAAAGGAATTAGTATTTAGCAAAGAAAGTCGAATTGAAACAAGTTTATATGCCTGATTAAGCTTGGGGAAGTTTTTAATATACACCTTTTAACTTCTCTTTGTTTCCATCAAAAAGGTTTGGGTGTTTTTAGTCCTGCTTTCCTTTTATATTGATCCGTTGGACTTCAATAGTGTTTTTATTTTTTTCGCTTAAATATTTATGGTAAAATAATTGGATTGAGCAATGTACCGTAGAGCTTTTACTGTACATAACATCTTTCATTTTTCTTATTATTTTTATCTTGATTATTTTGTATTAGAAAATTCCACTTTTAAGTAATTTTCCTTGTCATTTTTAAAAGATAATATAAAAATATTTATTAATATTGCATATGTAACATATATATTACAATATCATAATATTGTAACTCAAAATAATATTAGAAACTGATTAAATATTACTGTTTTAGTCCATTAATATTTCCACCTTTGGCTTGAATAAATATGGTTGCTATCTAAATTGTCCTTTAAATAATCATTACTTTTGCCAAACATAGTTGCTTTTATATTCCCTAAAACTAACCCTCTATAAAGTATCGATTTAAACCTAGGAGGGGTGGGTGGGGATTTAGAATCACATAACAATGCACTATCGGTAAAACAATCTTAACAAGATATGGGTTGTCAGAATAGAAAATATGAATCCACCGTGATTACAAATTGATATTTAAAGACTATAACCATAATTTCAAAATACTTACCAGGATATTTAACATCATTGTGGGGGTAAGTAGATTGACTATTTTATAGATTATGCAGGCTTAACAAAGAAAATGAACAAAATATTTAACATTATAACATATCGTATTTCGAAAAACTAAATGATAGAAACATTGAAGAATAGATCATTTCTAACTAAACCATGCTGTAAATATAGAATTATATGTATTTTAAAATGAAGTATTTAAATGGACACAAATGACAAAGTTGATAAACTTCACAGAACTTCATAATAGAAACATTCAAAAATGAACTTCAGTACTTTTAAGACACTATTTTACCTTATAATGCGTGGCAATCAAGTTTCAATATGTTGAAAGTAATCATGTAAATTCAGTTTTAAAAAAATGTACTTTACAAAATATCATTAAAGATTTATTAAAGATTTATTAACTTATTTATCCAATACAAATATTTCACACAAGTTAAAATATTTTACAAAATATAACTATTTAACACTGTAACTTTATAAAATAATTAATACTTTTGTATTAAAATAGCCTGGTTCTTTTTTTCAAATCATTCCTTTTCCATTCAGGTAAGCGATAAAACTGCAGACGAGTTAGATGAAATATAGCTTGAAACTCTTCATTAGATAAATGCCTCTAAAAAATTAAAAACAAAAAAAAGTCTAAAAGAGTAGTAGAAGATTCTTAATAAAATAATGACCTTTCCATTGCTGGTTTCATTAGGAATGTGCAATTTTTAAACAAAACATCACATATACAATAATTATAATACAAACTATAAAATACCTATCTTTCTTTTTATCAAAAAATTGACTTTCATTTTCATTCTTTATTACGTTACATAACTAATTTTTTTCTTTATTTGTAGATATAGTTTCTTAACAAAAGAAATTAAAAAGAAGCTTCTTGAATAACTTCTTTAAGGAGTTTTGAGTTTCCCCTTGATGAAATAATTAAATAGTTAGCATACAAATTGATTATATTATGTTACTTCATTGAAATATTTGCAATTGTAAACCATTAAAAGTAAGTAAACTTACATTTAATATCAATATAAATTGAATAAGACTACTTAACCATTTGATTTAAGGACAAAGATTTTTATGATTTACAAAGGATATAAAAAATTTCAATTTCAAAAAACATAAAACAAACAGTTCACATCTATATTAGTGAACATAATTTTGTTTTTTAGATCAGACCACATTTTCCAGACAAAGAAGGTAATTCAGATTGTAATTGATAAAATTTTATCGGCTAAAAAAATAAAATGACATTATTTTACATTAAAATGGTGAAAAGAAGTCAAGTATTACTTCATTAAATGTAAATGACATTAAATAAGCTAATGAAATGTTGTTATAATACTGAATCTTACACAGACAAACCCCGAAAAAAGAGAAAGATCGTTTCAGTACAAAAGTTTCAATTTATCAAAGGAAGGTAAATCTCGTGATAGTGCATATTATAAAACTTGCAGCTGGTACAGATTAGGTTATGCAAAACTTATAACAGTCAAACCTCAAACTTGAAGGTTGAGAAGGAAAAATTCAAAATAAAGAAAACTAGAGTTCAAAAATCACGGTATGAACAGTAGAATATAGAGAAAAAGCTTTATTCACATAGCTCATTAGTTGCTAAATAGTACTATAAAATTATTATGCCACTATATTCAAAACATTTTTTCCAAATTTTAAAACATTAATTTTGTAATACATTTTTAATTGCTCCCTCAAATTTTATTTAATTTTATTGAAGATTTTTAAAGTTACAGCAAGAAACATAAATATATATATATTGTTCTCTTTTTTATATAATTAAAAATGTCCATATCTCCATAAATATTCAAGCCATGCTTACAAATATGCAGTTATTGCAAATAAAAACCAAAGTGATCGATGCAAGACAAACTTATTGCTTAATTTTCTGCTCAGAAATACTAGTTTTCTATCATAATTTAAGGTCTATTCCTCAAACCTCTGAAAACTTATTGCTAAGTGTGAAAAATTGCATAAACTAAACATCTCTAAATTTACAAAATAATTCCTGAAGTATTTCATTAGAAATTTAAGAAAATATCAAAAACTGAAAGTGCCTCTTCCATTGTTGTAGGGTAGTGTACATTGCATCAAAAGAAAAAAAAGGACCATCGAGAATAGCTTTTGATCCAATGATCGCATTTTCACATTCTAGGACTCAATGTTAATGGCTCAAAGGGGTTACTTCAAATATGCTAACTAATAAGTACAGACGCTATTTCAAGTTACAAAATCAGACACCAATATGCACTTTCTCTGAATAAACATACCTTTTTTTCGAAGGATTTCTGATCCCCAATATAATCTGGTAACTGAAATCTGGGAAATATGATCCCAATAATTTGATTAGAAAAGCACTCCAAAGTTTAAACCCCTTAATGTTAATTTTACATTTCATGTATTTCGCTATATTTTGAGAACTTTTTAAGCGAATTGAAAAGGTTTTGCACACAATTATACAATTCGTTTATCCAAAATAATTCTACAAAAAAAATAACTTTTAGCAAATACAGTCAAACCCCGCTATAGTGAACACGGCTTATAGTGAACTACCGAATATAGTGAACGAAATGCTCGGTCCCGTGCCTTGCTATACACGTATAATGTTATTTTTAGTGGATATAGTGAACCAAAAAAGTGAGGAAGTTGGATATAATGAATTTTTTTCTCTTTTCGACTGATTTCCCTCCCCCATTTTCGTTGTAATAATTTTGAAATTTCTACTTCAAAATAAATACATATACCTATTTTTAAAACCATCTATAGAAACTACTTTTATGTGCTCGAATGGCAGGTTAGACAGGTTTAAAAAGCGGAATAACAGAAATTCAGGAAAAATTATCTGAGAGTCGGGAAGTGTTTCCATATCTGATGTTGAGGATTG